ATGCAATGTGTTAATTATTGAAACTGTCCTACTAATTTGGTTTGAAACTGTCTCATTGCTATTTGTTTCTCAATAAAATTATGGGGGAAAAAATAATATCGCTAACATCCTTCAAATAAAAGGAAAAAGTAGATAAAAAAAATAAAGTAACATTACCTTTTCTTGGTCTTCGAGAAAATTTAAGGTTCTTTCCTGTAGTAGTTGCCTTTTCATTTGTTAACAACTGCAGGTAAAATAATCATGTAATTTACCAAAAATATTTTATAAAGTAGTTAGTATTAAACTATATTCCCCTTAACTTATTCCTGTTTCCTTCTTTTCTTTTCTTTTGAGACACGGTCTTAATGTGTAGTTCAGGCTAGCCTTGATCTCACTATCTATGCCATACTGAATTCATAATAAACTCACAGTGATCCTTCTGCCTCAGCCTCCTGAATGCTGCAATTATAGTCATGTTACCACACTCAGTTCCTTTACGTATATTCACTAATACACATGTTCCCCAAACACATACTCCTTATATAGTTGTAAATTTATTTGTACACTTTTCTAGATTCTAAACAGAAAGCTAACTGATCACAACATTCACTGTTAGTAACTGTTCAAATGTATGACTCTGACCACTTATGAGGTCCTCATAACTACTTGCAGCCACGTAAGAGTTTAAAACAGCATTCCTCTACATAGTAAGTTTAAAAAAATTATTTAGAAAGGGCCGGCCAGATAGCTCAGCAGACTAAAGTGCCTGCTTAGGCAGAGCGCAGCAGCTGGGGTTCGATCCCCCAGCTTGGCATGCCAGCCCCGTCCCTGGGGCAGGCTGAGATGGCAATTGAGACTGGGCGTCTATAATCCTAGAGCTTGGGAGGCTGAAAACAGGAGGATCACTAGGAGTCTGATCTATGTAGTGGGACCGTGTAGACCCTGTACTAAATACCCCCCCAAAAAATTATGTAGAATTTCACAGCCAAAAGATTCTGAATATATAAATACAAAGCAGAAAAGTTCTTCTACAGGGCATAATAACTTGCCACAATTACTAAAAGAATTCAAGGAATGAGAAAAAATACTATACCAATTATAGTGTTCTAAAAGAAAATGAGAAACAGAATTTCAAAAAAATTTAATTACAATGGCCTCGAGAATTTTACATTTTATTTATCTGCATTCAGGGAAAACAATTTTATAGGTCCTTTACCTGGTTCCCAGAAGTACCCTGAAATCCTTCTCCACACGTCAGCCAAGTGTCAGAGAGGGAGGCAGCTTCTCCCACTGTCCTGAGACCTGTTCTTTGGGACTGCAGTGGTCTCTCTTCTGGAAAGGACGGGTACTCTGAATCCCAAGTTCTTTTCCTCTGCGGAGTTTTTAAAGAAAATTGATTTCATTAAATGTACAATAAGATGGCAATGGAAGCAG